ATTGATCCAAGATGTTATATTTACAAATTTTAATGAAAACAAAGTAAGAACTGAGTAATTTTTGCATAAACTGTGAATTAATTAGATCCATTTATAATTTATTGAATTATTTTTTTATGGCAGTTAAGATTATGTTTGATAATGTGTCTTTTAGTTGCCATGTTAATAGTATTGATTTAATATAAAACAAAGAGTTAAAGCATTATTCTTATAGACAATTATATTTTGATTATTGGTAATCAAAGCAAAGTTTGTTCCATTTGAGGATATTGAATGGTAAGCTAAATATAATAATAATAATAAATAATCCAATCTCCTTTGGCAAATGAAGTCTCTTTCGAAATATCAATTAATTTAAGAAAAGCCAATTTTGGTCGATATTATTAAGAATTACCTTCCCAAAATCTTTTTATTGGCACCTATGTTATCTCCCCTTAATTGGGATCAATACTAATCTGTTCAATTTCTTCTTAATTTTTTTATGCTCACTTATTGAAATATTTGAAATACTAAAAATGAAATAATTTTTATTTTAATAATTAAAAGATAATATAATTCAAGATTATAACTAAGAATATTATTGTTCAATAAATTTTGAAATATTGTTAATTAGGAATAGATCTCAAAGTCTTGATTAAAGTTGGGTATTGATTAATCATAGCTCATAATTGTTAACCAAAAAATATTAGATTATATTAAGCTTCATTTAATATCTGTTACCAAAAAGATACTCATATTTAAATTAAATAGAAACAAACTACATATTTAGAAACTATGAGAATACTTTAATAAAATATCTTTCCAACATTGTAAAGCTATTTCAAATATAGAATTTTCTAATTTTAAAAATATGTAACAATTCTAGCATTGTTTTCAGAAAATCAAGATAATTAGACAAAAAGAAAATTTTAAATGGTTTTAATAAGATTGCCAAATATTATTTTTCTCCTTGTCATATCATCAATTATAGATTTAAAATTAAAAATCTTGGTTTCAATATTTAACGAGCTATTTAGCCTAGCACTCCATTTTTAGAATATCATTATTAATATTTATGCTATATACTATTAAGTCTTTTACATTAAAAAGTCATTTGTATTATCTTTTTACTTATAGTATTATCTAAAATGAACTAGGGTTAATTAATGAAAATAAGTAAATTTTCTTTATTTCAAATAACAATCAAATTGCATCTGTTTAATTATTTATGTTTAAATTATTATTAGGAATCAATTATTCTTTATGAACCATACACAAAAAGAAGAGAAGTATCTTATTTTTAAATATATATTAAATAGTTAAAAAGAATAACAGCCCATAAAATTGTAAATAAAATGATAATGAATTGACTCTCTTTAATGAATAAGACATTCCTTCTAATTAATATCCATAGAATATCTCACTTCTTTCATATTCAATTAGATTAATTTCCTAGGGTAAAATAACATGAGAAGATTCCAGAACATGAAATTTTTGGTGTGAGTATATTCACAGAGCTTGAAGTATCCAATATAACGACTGAAATAAGCTGTCAAGAATCTGTCCTGGAACGGTCACCTTAATCCATCTTTAATCCTAAATCAAATTTTCTCCAAGAAGACAGACTTGCTTCTCCTGCTTAAATCTGTCCTTAGTAAAGCTGTACATCTGTCAGAGCATATGCTCTGTTCAATAAGATTTTATTAATATCTAACTCTCATAACTTTTATGAGCAACTATAATTAATTTTACGTGTAAAGCCATTTTATAAATATTACTAATATATTAGATAAGACATAATTACTCTTTAGCTACAAATGAAACGTTGCTTATTTACAAATTTTATACAAATTTATTTTCAAAAGAAAAAAAATTAAGAAAAAAAAATCATAAATTTATAA